CTCTGTATCTTCCTCCTCTATATGCTGATTTAATAAAAAGATTTGTGCAAGGTGATTGATATTTGCTAGGGCTGTTCATAAGAATGTCTAACCAGGTCAAACCGACCAACCTGGACCGACCCAACCCGAGTCGTCCGGGTTTGCATCCGTACCGGTCGGTTTCGGGTTGGGCACAAAACGAAACCGACATCTCGGGTCAGTTTCGGTTTTCTTGCGTGAAAATCAAATCCAACCCGACCCGAACCGACCTAGAGATCTACTAGTTTGGTAGTTCCTACTTCCTAGTTTGAGTAGTTTCCTAATTCCTACTAATCTTCTACTTTTAGACTTCTACTAGAATTAGAACTTTAGAAGGCCTATTAGGCAATTACAATTAGAATTCAATTAGGTGTCCTTTTTTAGTTTTTTACCTAGATTAGAAATTTAGAATTTAGAAGGTTTCTAATTTTTTATTCTCTACCTGAATTAAATTTAGATTTATTTTGGACTCTTGAATATCAAATATTCAAATTATCAAATAAATCAGATTTTATTTGGCTTTATACATACAGGAGCAAAACCGACCAAACCGACCCAAACCGACCAACCCGACTCAAACCGACCTGGTCGGTTTGGCCTGTCAGTGGGTCGGTTTCGGTTCCCACCTTAGCTAACCCGACCAGGTCGGGTCGGTTGGGAAAATCCCAAGAAACCGACCCGTGAACACCCCTAATATTTGCAAGAGGGTTTGTAATATACAATTTCTCCAAACCCACCCTATAAAATTTTGGGTTATTTAAATTTTTTGGTAAATTACATATAGTTATCCCCTGTAATTTTGGGATAGTGACAGATAATCTGAACTTTCAATTGCAACACTTGATTATCCTGAACTTTCAAAAATAGATATATGGGTTCATCCATTCGTATTTTGTTAGTTAAATATTACATAATGCCCAAAATACCCTTTTGTGTATTTCTAAGAGCAGTCTCATATAACTGAACGTCTCCCTACGATGACATTCTCACATGGACAACAAATAACAAATTCAAAATTTTGACTGTCGACATTCTCAGGTGATGATAGAATGATCTCAAAAATACATTGAGGGTATTTTTGATATTATGTGATGTTTAACTAACAGAATACTAATGGATGGATCCAAGTATGTATTTTTGAAAGTTAATGGTATTCAAGTATTGCAATTGAAAGTTTAGGAAAATTATATATTACTACCCCCAAAGTACATGGCTATCTATAATTTACCCTAAATTCTTTGCACTCTAAAAATTCGAGGGTAGCTATAATTCCTATTGAAGAAATAAGATTTTCATGGGTTTTTATTTGTCGGTTTTTTGTTTTGTTTCATTTATTTTCGCCATGGAATTGCTGTTGAATCTTGGTGTGCATTTTATCAACTGTTCTTTCACCTTTTTTAAAAAATGACGAATAAGTCCCAATTTCATTTCTTTCATTCAATGCCTCTAATATCAGGGTTTTGTTTTGCCAAAGCCTAGCATTTCCTTACTCCTCCATATCATCATTGAAGAGGAGAATGGCGATATACCAAGCACCGTTGTTTCCAAAGTTCCAACAACCAACTACCAACAATCAAGATTTGTAGCAGCAGCTGGTGACCATGATGGAGTGACTGGTTCGGGGTAAAAATCCACAATACAACATCTCTTTCAACCTAAAAAGAGAATGGTGGTACACTGATACATGCGTTTCCAAACAACCAGCCACTGGCGACAAAGATTTGCAGTGGTAGCCAACAACCATTGTAAAAGGTAGGGGTGAGCATGTGCCAATTCGGTTCGGTTTCATGTAGAACCTGGAACCTATCCTGTAAGGGTTGGTTTCAAGTTTTTGGAACTAGAACCTACCCTATGAAGGTCGGTTCTAGCTTTGACGGTTCCAAGGTCTACCCATGGAACATGTTCTTTCTTTACTCTCTCCCTTCAAGAAAAAAATGTCCTTTAAAAACTTGATTTTCAATAACGATAATATATAGTTTAAAATTTATATTATTTTTATCGATTAAATTGAGTAATTTAATATATTAATATATGGTTCAAAATTTGTCATTATAATTTAAATTTTGTAATTATTACCTTTTACATTATTTATTATATATAAATATTAAAATGAAAATAGATTATCAAATCACTTAAGTAACTTGATGGTCAAGTGAGACCATGGCTTTTGTAACCATGAGTGCTTGGGCTCAAATATTCACATACTTAAAAAGTTTTGGGGTTTATTTCAAGACAAATTCGATTTCATGGTTGGTTCCATCAAAGCCAATCAAGGCTGATTTTCGGGTTGGTTCGAGTAGGATAAACCCCAAGACCCTGGAACAGACCTAGGTGGGGGTCGGTTCCCAAAATTTGGAACCAACCCTACCATGTAACAGGTCGGATAGGGTCGATTCAAGGTCACATTGAGGTCGATTTCATTCGGTTCTAGGTAGAACCTACCCATTTGCTCACCCCTAGTGAAAGTATTGTAGCGACGATTATTGGGTAAAAAACTTCATTTTTTTGTTTTTTTTTTTTTTTATTTTACCTCAGATCTCTACGATTAGACATTTTGGTTCTGATTTTCCTTTCTTTTGTAATATTGGACCTTTTTTGCACAGGCAACCACCACTTACACCGACCAACAAGTATTGTTTGGCGAAACCCCATTGAAGCCAAGAATCATTACAGAATCTCATCTTCTGTTTTTTTTTTTGCATTTTTCTTGTATTTATTTAATTTTTATGATATTTAGAAGGGTAGAATACAAAAACCTCCCCTAGATTTTCTGACAATCATAAAAACCTAGCCTTTAGTTTCACTTTAACAAAAATCGCCCCTGAACTTTCAAAGAACTCAACAAAAACCTCCCTTTTGTCACTGATCCTGACAGAAAGCGATAGACTGAAGCATATATATATTTTTTCTGAATACCCATTTTACCCTTTTGTAATTTAGTTTATATACATTTTCACTGAAACGACCCAGTGCACATAAGCTTTCTCTTCTGAAGTAAAATGGAACAGTGTATCAGATGATTAACGGAAGACTCAGCCCTTTCTCTGGTGACTGGTGGTGCTCAAAAGATACAGTTGCTCAAAAGATCTGATACCCCTTTCTCATGGGTGGATGAAGATGAGAATGACGAGAACTCTAAAAAAGCCACAAGAATTGAAATAAAGAGTTGTGTCCGATCTGATTGGATTTCTTCCACCACCTCAAGCCAGGGAATGCCAGAGCAATCAGAGTGGTTCTTGGGCCAATCATCAACAAAATGGCAAAGGGGATGTTGTGGTTGTTGTCCTCAAATGGGATTTGTTGTTTTGGAACAGAAAAAAACCTTAGCTTTCAGGTTCATCGAGGGAGAGAGCACAAGCATGCCTTGGGAATCTTGGACTTGGTCACCAAACTTCTCTCTATTTAGTAGAATACAGAGAGACAAGAAACAAAGAAAGAAAACGAAAGAAGGAAAAAGATGATCGTGGATAGGTTAGTTACTATGGAGAGTGAAGTAGATGGGAAACAAACCCCAAATCTAAGAGGCGTTATTTCTCACCTGTTGATGTGAGTAGTTGTAGTATTCAAGCTCTTCGTTTGGTGTTGTGTGATGGCGAGTTTGTTGGATGCTTGAGCTATGTGGGTCCCGGAACGATATGGCTTAGTCTGGCCTTCCATAGGCTTTCTTGAATGATGGCGGTCAGTATTTATAGTATTTATTAAATCATTCTACCCAAATCCCAAATCATTGAAGGACAATTCCATTCAATGCCCAGGAAAAAAAATAACGGTAGGGCATGGGCATGGAAGATCAATATATTACCACTGAATCAGCTAGAATACGATTGTTTTATTTGATTATTTCACGGAAAAAATGAAAAGAAAACAAAGAACCCAGTTTTTAGATATTTAGTATGATTTATTGATTCAACTTGCAATAGATCTAGGCTGTTCACAAGAAGGTCCAATCCGATCAAATCGACTAATCCAGATCGATCCAATCTGAGTCGACTGGGTTTTCATTAGCATCGGTCGGTTTCGGGTTGTATAAATTCATAAACCGATGATTCGGGTCAGTTTTCGATTTTCTTGTGTGAAAACCGAAACCGACTTGAACCAAACCAACTTAGTTCCTACTTAATTAAAAATTGAAATATCTGAAAATATATATTCCAATATCTATATCTAAAAAATATATATTATGAAATATGTCAGATATATATTTCCAGAAAATATATATTCCAATATATTTGTATGTATATTTTTGTTTATATATATATATATATATTTCTAAAATACATATTTCAATTTTAAATATATTTTCAGAAAACTAGGTGGCCATGGGGGCATGGATGAACTTAGAACCAAAACCGACCCAAACCGACCCAACCCGACTCAAACCGACCAGAACGGTTTTGCTTAACACTGGGTCGGTTTTGGTTTCCATCTCAAGTAACCCAACCAGGTCGGGTCGGTTGGAAAAACCTTAGTAAACCGACCCAACCCAACCCGTAAGCAGCCCTAAATAGATCTTGCGTGGAAATCATTGTTTGCAACTTTGCGGTTTACTTTGAAAACAAGAGAAAGCTTATGCGTATTGGGCTATTCCAGTAAAAATGTATGTAAATTAATTAATAAAAAGGTATAATGGGTATTTAGAAAAATTGATGGTTCGGTTTAAGGAGCTTCTTTTTTGATTTTTTTGAAAGTTTAGGGGAGATTTTTATTAAAGTGAAACTAAAGAGGAGGTTTTATGATTGTTAAAAATGTCAGGGGAGGTTTTTTGTGTTTTACCCTTTTATTATTTATAAATATATTTTTATTTTTAATTTATTTATAATGTCACGGGTCAAATTATTCAACCAAGACGGTTGAACCACTGGACCAGAAAACGGTTCCGTTTCCACGTCATTTTGGTTAAACATAAATTATTGTGAATTATATTTGACAGAAATTATAAATTCTTATGGCCTGAGCCGTTTGGGGTTGGAATTTTTTTGTTTTTGGTATTTTGCTTCAAAAGGAATTTACTCTTAAAATAATTTCCCCCTTTTTCGTAAATTATTTTCCTTCCTGTTTGTTTGATTTTGTTTGCTTAGAGCAAAGTCTGGAGTTCCTCGTCAGGAACCTGGGAGCTCTTTCTTTGATTTTCTTCGAATTAGGTCTCAACTTACAGATGGAGCCAAGCGGTTCGAGAGAGGTTTCTTCGTTGGCTTCTGCCTCTGTTCTGGACGTCGAAGGTGCCTCTGTTGTGGGTGTGGAAGGTGGCTTGAAGGACATGGAATGCGAAGGAGGCAAAGAAGATAACGATGCCGACGAAGGAGAGGACGGAGATATCGATGACGAAGAAGGAGAAGAAGAGGAAGAAGAGGAGGGGGAAGAAGAAGAAGACAACTTGGAAGAGGGAGAATACACACTTCGGTTCGAAGGAGAGATGAATCCATTGGATTTTGTGGAGGATGATGCCTTCGGAGTCCAGCCTTATCAACAATTCGAGCGTCTCGAATACGAGGCGCTCGCCGAGAGAAAGCGCAAAGCACTTGCCGACCGTCAAAGGTAGTAACTGTTTTCCTTTCTGCTTCAAATATCCTTCATTCTTTCTTTACGCTTCGTCCAAATAGGCTTTTCTTGGTTGTTTGTTTTCTCCATTTTAAGTTATTTTACTATTGATGGGATATTAGTGTTTGTATTTTGTAAAACTTTTGAAATTGAATCTTCTGTGTATAGGCTCTTTATCTCTCTATTTGTGGTTAGTTTATTGTTAGAAATTTCTTATCAACTCTTTGAGTCTAGTATTGTGGGGTAGTTGAACTGGGTGTCTCCAAATAGAAAGATAATTACCACATAGGGTCTGCTTCACTTTATCAACCTAAGTGCATGGTGAGTGATGCTCTGGGTCTGTTACATTGATGGCAATACTGTTGAAAGATAATGTCTTTCAATAGTTAGAGTCTGACTATAATACCTAAAAGGCATGATACCTAGAAAGCTTACAGCTAATTAACCAGAATTGCAGAAGTGGTAACCAATCAAGTGGCTTTCATCAAAATTCACGGGAGGGTTCTGATTGGTCAAAGTTCTTCTGGTATTATACTCTTGCAGCATCATAGAAATTTCCGAATAGGATAGATATTTCCAAATATATTAGCATTACTTATGGACTCTAGATTATACTTAGAGGACTTTAAATAGGATGGATATTTCCAAATATATTAGCATTATTTAGCCAATAAAAAAAATTATGTATAATAACTTTTATTGTCATTTACCAAAAAACTGTTATTGTCATTCTTTTAATAAGTATTTATAATATTATATTATCATAGCATTTACTGGCACTGTGTACAATGACTGGATAAACTTGTTTGGTTTAGCACTGATAAAATAAAAAATAATGCAAGAAAGTAGAAGAATAGAAGAAGAAAAACTGTAACAAGGAAGAAGAACGGAGAGAAGAGAAGAGAAGACTGGAGAGAACAACACCCAAACTAGATTTATGTGAGCTGAAGGAAATCCCTCTCTTGCAAGCTAGAATGCTAGATTCACTTGGTCCAATTTTCAAGAAGTTCCCCACTGCTCCAAACTGGATAAGTTTCTGTTTAATGAAGAGTGGGAAAACTATGAGGAGAACCTAGTATCCAGAACTTTGCCTAGAATCACAGATCACTTCCCTATCAAACTAGGTCCTGAATCCTTTCTAAATGGGCCCGCCCCTTTTAGATTTTAAAACATGTGGCTTATCCACCCAAACTTTGTAAGGAAAGTAGAAACTTGGTGGAAGGGGGACTTGAGATGTGTGATTTGGAAAGGTGTAAGGTTTCACAAGAAATTAAAGAGGTTGAGAGGGAAAAATCAAGGAGTGGAACAAGGATCATTTTGGAAGATTAGAGGAGAAAAAGCTCAACGCTGTCTCTAGCAAAGAGGAATTAGACAACAAGGAAGCACAGGGGTCTATTGGTGTTGAGGAAAGAGCTATGAGGTGCAAATCAAAGAGAGAATTGGAAGAAATTTGAACTTGTCTCCAATCTTAAAACTAATCTTGAGAAGAGTTGTATTGTGGGACTTAACATGGAAGAGGGAAACCTTACTGTTGTCATAAATGTCCTGGAATGTTCCATATCTAGTTGGCCTCTGACTTACTTAGGACTTCCCCTAGGTGCAAACTTGAGAGAGAGTAGATTTTGGAGTCCAATCTTTGAGAAGTGCACTAAGGGACTAGCAACTTAGGAAAGAAATTATATCTCACTTTGGGGTAGGATTACTTTGATTAAGTCTATACTAGCTACTCTACCAATCTACTACTTGTCAGTCTTTAGGATCCTTAGAAAGGAGATAAAAAGATTGAGAAACTGATGAGGGACTTCTTGTGGGAGTTGGGAGAGGGCAAAAAGGACCACTTGGTTAATTGGGAGACTGTGAGAAGAAACTTAGAAGGAGGTTTGGGAGTTGGGAATGTGGATAAAAAGAACTTGGCATTGCTAGGAAAGTGGTTATGGAAATGGCCATTGGAACGGGATAGACTTTGGCATAAAGTAATAACCAGTATACATGGTAGGTTGGGGAATAAATGGGATGCAGATATTTCCATAAGGCTACCTTATCATCTCCGTGGAAGGCTATTCGTGGTATTCTACTCACTCTCCTTTAGTTTGTCAGGTATGATGCTTGTTTAGGGGTTTCTGTCAAAATTTGGGAGGATATTTGGGTTGGCTCTTACCCTCTGAAGGATCTCTTCCCATCCTTATACTCAATTTCTTTGTACAAAAATCAATGTATTTCAAAATTCATTGTTCCCTTTGTTCTCCCAGTGGATCATAATTGGGACTTGGCTTTCGTAGAGGGTTAAGGGATGACGAATTGAGGGCTTGTCTGGACTTGCTTCAAATTCTTCAAAATGTATGTCTTGATCTTGATAAGTCAAATAAGTGTATTTGGGCCCTTCACCCTAAGGATTTGTTTTCATGTGCTTCCTTCTTCAAGTTTCTTTGTAACTCTCTGCCCTCTTCTTCTTTTCCCATTAAAGAGTTCTGGTGCAAACCTATTACCCCTAAAATAAGAGCTTTTTGTTGGGAAGTTTGACAGATTTCTGTTCAACCAGGAGTGGGAGATAATGTTGAAGGTTTGATTCAGGAGACTCTTGCTTTCTCAATCTCAGACCACAAGCCAATCTTATTAATGGACTTTGTGAGATTGAAGGGGCCCAAGCCTTTTAGATTTGAAAGTATGTGGATGGGGCATCCAAATTTCTTGGAGTTTGTGGAGAGGATGGAATTCATATAAGGTGGAGGGTTCAGCTGGATACAAATTCATGAAGAAACTAAAGCTGTTAAAGGAAGATTTAAAGAGCTGGAGTGTTCAAATTTTTGGGAATGTTGAGAGGAGAAAGAAAGAGGTTTTGAACAGAATGGTTAGGTTGGACAGGTTGGAGGAGGAGGACAATCTGTTTCAAGCGGGTAGGATGAAAAGAGAGAGGCTAAAAGAGGAGCTGGAAAGGTTAATCCATTTTGAGGAAATTTCATGGAGGCAAAAGGCGAGAGTTCAGTGGCTTAAAGAAGGAGATAGAAATACGGATTTCTTCCAAGCCATGGTGAGAGGAAGAAGAAAAAGGAATACAATCTCCAAGTTGGTTGGGGGGGGGGGAAAGAATTATTGACAATCAAAAGGATATTGCAGAAGAGATTAGGAGTTTCTACGAGAGTTTGTACAAAGCTTTGCCTATCTGAAAATGTCATCTTGGGGAGATGGAGTTTGGGCAAGTGGAGGAAGGGGTTAGGGAGTGGTTGGAGAGATGGTTTGAGGAGGAAGAGATTTGGGAGGCTGTTAAAAAGATGAAAGGCGGCAAAGCTTTGGGCCCGGATGGTTTTAACATTGGCTTTTACAAAGTGTGTTGGGATATAATCAAAAAAGATTTGCTGGCTTTATTTAAAGAATTTTGGGAGGATAAAATTTTGGAAAGATTGGCTAATGCAACATTCATTTCCCTCATTCCAAAGGTGGACGGGGCTGTGAGAGTGAGTGTCTTTAGGCCAATCAGTTTAATTCTGGATGGGGTGAGCTCAACTCAATTGGCTTTTGTTCAAGGAAGACAAATTCTGGATGGGGTGTTGATAGCAAGTGAGTGTGTGGATTCAAAAATTAGAAGTGGGGGAGAAGGGGTTATTCACAAAATTTATTTGGAAGAAGTGATGAGGAGGATGGGGGTGACATCTTGTCACCTAGTTATGTTGTACTGTTTTTTGTTTTAGCAATAAAATTTCTTTCTTTATTTATCTTAAAAAAAAATTCTAGTTTACCTCTTCCACTCTTCAGTAAGATTTAAAACCTTGCCTTATAGTAGTATTAGTGTTTTCAACTCTTCAACTTATTTGGTCGAAGACCTACTGTTCTGGTCTAATAAAAGTGGCTGCCCTTCAAAGTTCAAAAGTTTGACTCCTAAGTAGGCTTAGAAAGAACTTTTTTTTGTGTTTATTTTTTGATAAATAGAACTTTTTTTTGTGATTATTTCCCAGAGTGGTTTATCTAGCAATGCTTGTTGTACCGGAAGAATGTCAAGCCCAAAATCTCTTCTGTTCTTTTCTTCTTTTGATTGTTAACGAGGAATTATATTTCTGAAGAAGGAAAGGTAACATGTGGAGTTCCAGGGATGAAAAGAAAGGAGCCCCAAGCTTCTTAAGACTAGAAGAAGCATTGATACTGTTCATACAAGTGAAAATGAAATAAAGCAAAAAATCATCCTATGTTAGTAGAGAAGAACTATCATATAGAGTTTTCCATCTCATGCCTCCTTAACTGTGGTGTTGGGATCAATTGCTTGGATGTGAACCTAGCCTCTGGCTTTTTATGAAGTGGTCACTTTCAGACTAGAACATGCATTTTTTTCCTTTCTTTAATCGTTAACACTGCTTTGTATGTTTAGACTAGTATACAAAACTACCCTATGTTAGTCTTCCTTGGTTGTTCTTAGGTTGACTGGGTATGAATGTTGCCATGCTGTATTGCTTACTGTAATCATTCATGGAGAGAGAGACGAGAGAGAGAAAGAGAAGAAGAGGAAGATACGATTGAGAGAAAAAGAAAACCTACTCCTGGCAGCTGCCAGTTCATTATTTATATTAACTTAATATAAAAAGAATGGAAATTACAAGTATGCCCCCGGTGGCACTCCCTAGAAACAAACTGATAAGAAAGAAAGAAA